GGGGGACCCAGGGAGATGCAATTGGCCGGTGACTAGGTCTCTTGGGTTCAGTGTCTGCGAGATGGAGAGAGAGGGAAGGAAAAACTGCAAACATGTCCTCACAGCAGTAAAAAGGGCGGTGAATATGAGCGAGGGCTGAGGTGCTGGGCAGTTAGCGGAGTCCCTGACTCCCACGGTGGGCCGACCCAGCTCCTGCCCTGTGCTCCGGGCTTTTCACAGATGTTTGCTTTAACACCCCACAACACCTGGGGGTGGAGGAGATGGGGAGGCGACTGATCTCATTTTACGGAGGCTCTGAGAGCAGCCTCCAGATTCATAGAGCAGGTGGGTGGAACCCATGGCTGCCCCACAATGAGCATATTTGACAAATTAAAGCTACAAGTGGCTCCACATTTCTTTTACACCAAGCACCTCCTGGCATTAGCTTGGCACTCAGTGACTGTTAGGAGATGCTGGTTGGCTGAATGAATAAATGAATGAACTAACGGACAAAGGACGGAACATACATAAGGCACTGATAGGAAGTTCAGGCTGAGGGTCTGTATTCTCAGCCACTAAGCAGGAGGTCCCCCCCCCCCCAGGCCCAAGAGTCCAGGGCATCTACCCACCCATAGCCCAGATCAGCCAAGGAAAAGGGTTACCTGGGGGAAGGCACTCTGCAGCTCAGGCCCAGCTTGAGGTTGGGCTTGGGCTGCTTCCCCTGGAAATCCCTACACCCACTTCTTTCACTTTGGGGTCTTTTCCTCTATTGCTCTGGAGGCTGGTCTAGATAGATTCCACTAGCAGACTTTCTGTCTTGGGGTTACTTCCATAGCCCAGATCAGCCAAGGAAAAGGGTTACCTGGGGGAAGGCACTCTGCAGCTCAGGCCCAGCTTGAGGTTGGGCTTGGGCTGCTTCCCCTGGAAATCCCTACACCCACTTCTTTCACTTTGGGGTCTTTTCCTCTATTGCTCTGGAGGCTGGTCTAGATAGATTCCACTAGCAGACTTTCTGTCTTGGGGTTACTTTGCTGGTGGGGGTCCTTGCAGGAAGAGAGCGGTCTGAGTAATTGTCCTCCCCTAGCTACCTTCCCTAGATGATTTTTCGCTAAGGGTGTGAATAGCCTTGGGTACAGCACCATCTACTTGATGCCCACATTTTGACACTCTTTACCAGGCTGTTCTCACTGACCCATTTGGAGGGTGGCATCCATTTGGGATCAGGACCCTCACGGCCTAGTAATTCCCTCCAGGTACCTCTCTGGAGCAGAACAAGCCACCCAAGAGGCTCTGACCACGCTGGAAATGTACAGTGTGGTGACACACTGGGTTCTCCCATCCTCTCCTGATCCCACCTCACTAATCCTCTGTAAAAAGCAAACCTTCCTAATAAGGCAGATCCACCAACTGCAGAATGGGGTGGGGGATCTGAACCAACCAGCTTCCCCAGTTCCCAGATTGGGGCTGTTCTGGGCCTCTCTGTGAAGGGAGCAACATCCTAGCCCTCCTGGTGTGTCTAGCTCCCTGCCTGGCCTGTGGAGAGTGTTGTCTCTCCATCTTCCTGTGGCAATTGCTAGGCCTGTATTTCCTATGATCTTCATCTGTTTGGGGGTATGAGGGGGGTTCAGGACAATATAAATAACACTAATTTTAATATTTCAGCCTTTTTTGATGGTACAGTTTAGCAACTTTGAGTACACTTCCATTGCTGTACAAATCTCACCACCATCCATCTCCAAATTTTTCATTTTTCTAATCCCAAACTACCCATTAAACACTAATTTCCAGGCTGTGATAGCACACACCTTTAATCCACTTAGGAGGCAGAGGCAGGTGGAGCTCTGTGAGATTGAGGCCAGCCTGGTCTACATAGCAAGTTCCAGGTTGGCTGGGGCTACTAGGAGACCCTGTCTCAAAAAACAAACAAAAAACCCCACTAATTCCCATTTTTCCTTCCTAGCCCAACAACCACCTACTGCCTTCTGTCTCTATGAGTTTGATCACCCTGGGTCACCCAAGTAAGTACAATCATACTGTATTTGTCCTTTGGTGTCTAGCTCATTCTGCTTAAAACCCAGGAGATTCATCCATGTGGTAGCCTGCGTCAGTCTCCTTCCTTTTTGTGGCTGAGTAATATTTCATTGTGTGCACTTGACACATTGTCTTTCTTCATTCATGTGTCAATGGTCTTTTTTTTTTTTTTTTATCACCTTTAGGCTATAGTGACTAATGGGACTGGGAGCGTTGACATACACCTGTTCAAAGTCCATGCTTTTGATTATTTGGGGCATGTTTCCGGAAGTAGAATTGTTGGATCACATGGGAGTTCTATCCTTATTTATTTATTCTTTCGTGGAATTGCCTTCCTGTCTTCCTGGTGGCTGTGCTATTTTACAACTTAAGGCAGTGCAAGGGTTTGAGCTTCTCTTAACCCTCACCTCCTGTTATTTCCTGCTTTTCCCATTGTTCTTGACAACAGCCATCTTGGTGGCAGTGGGGCAGTGACTCACTGGGGTTTTTGTTTGCATTTCCCTAATGATTAGTAGCAGGGAGCATCTTTTCCTGCTGTGCACAGTTTGCACATTGTCTTTGGAGAAATGTTTGTTTAAGCTCTTTGCCAATTTTTATGGTGGTTGTTAGTGCTTTCATCTTGTCTTGCTGGATCTACCTTACCTCCTAGACAAGCAGGCTTTCCTGAGCAGCCAGCCTATTTTACAGAGGGGTAGGGACTGAACTGGAAAGGGGAACCTAGGCTTTGCTTTGAGTGGCGGGAGGTGGAGGGGACGACTGAGGATTATCTGCTAAAACAAACTTCAGTCCACATGGTCACTGCAGCTCATGGGAATGGGCCACTGAACTGCCTCATTACAGGCACAAAACAAATTCAAGTGCACCAGGGAATCCAAATCCCAAGGAAAACTCGAGATGGATGGAAATCCCACCAGAACTTGTGTTCTAAACTTATTCCAGTCAATCTTCAGCCTCCTAGTCTTTACTGAGGTCTACCCCTGAGTTTGGCCCCACCCAGCACTTTGTATGTATGTTGTCTTACAGTGGCCCTGTGAGTTTCACACTGTGCTTTCTATTTGCTGACTGGGAAGTTGAAGGGGCCTGGGCAGACTGGGCTTCTGCATTTGAAGACTGAGCACAAACTTTTGTCCCTCCATAAATCTGCATCCAACACCTTTACCAAGTGCATGACCTTGGTGGGCAAGTGCTTCATTCTCCTCATCCACAAGTGACCTGAGAACAACTAGCAACCTTGGAGGCGTGTTCTGAGGTCTAAGGAGGCAACACGTGCAAAGTCCTTGTGTTTTTGTGATTTTCTACCAACAAGACTGATAACAGCCAAACTCTCCCATAAACCTGCATGTAAGTCCCAGGTCTGACCTTCATCTTGATGGCACACAAGCTACATTTATGTTTTTCTTATTCTGAGCCTCCTTTAGTCCCTGATCTCATGTCCAGCCTCAGCTCTATCAGTCATCTCTCTCTTCTGGCTCCCAAGGGGCTTGGGAGATGGATCTGTGGGTAAAGCGCTTACTGTGCAAGAATGAGAACCTGAGTTCAAATCCTTACGTAAAAAGCTGGGTGCAGTGACTCATGTCTGTAACCCCAACCCTAGGGGTAGGAAGTGAGAGACAGGTAGATCCCAGGGGCTCACTGGTCACCCTCTAGCCAGTTAGTGCGCTTCAGGTTCGGTGACAGACCCTGACTCGAAAACTAAGGTGGAGAGGGATAATGAAAAACACAATGTCAACTCCACACGTACATGCAGGCAAGTGCACTCACACACACACAGGCAAAGAAAAAGAGGGGGGAAGAAAGTGAGATGGCTCAATGGGTAAAAAGTACTTACTGCCAAGCCTGAGGCTTGAGTTTCCCTACATGGTGGAAGGAGAGAACCAACTCCTGTAACTTGTCCTCTGACCTCCGTACATGCATCAGGACACATCTGAGTGTGTGTGTGTGTGTGTGTGTGTGTGTGTGTGTGTGTGCGCGTGCAAATAAATGTCAGAACAAGAGAAGAACTGGGAGACAACACCATTTACATCTGAGTGTGTGTGTGTCTGTGTGTGTGTGTGTGTGTGTGTGTGTGCGCGCGTGCAAATAAATGTCAGAACAAGAGAAGAACTGGGAGACAACACCATTCCAACTTATGGTTACATTCCAGCCTGAACACTACCCCCTCCCCCTGTGGCTAACAGTTTCAGTTTCCCAAAGTCAATTTCCCCAGGTCCACACCATTAATACCATTCCTGCACAGCTTACTTTAATCATTAATACCACCTGACTGATCCTCAGGCCCTTCCCCAGCTCTGATAAAAATCCTGAAATTAACCTGTCCTAGCCATCAAGCTGCCTCATCAGTTAAGTGCTCTTGCTGCTCTTGCAGAGGACCTGAGTTCAGTTCCAGTATCCATACCAGGTGGCTACTCACAACCACCTGTAACTCCTTCTCTAGGGAATCTGATGCCTCCTTCTGGTCTCTGTAGGCATCCATACACACTTGCACATACATGCATGCACACACATGCACACATACAAATAAAAATAAAATAATCTTGACATCTGTGTTTCCCTGGCCATCAGCAGTTTGGTTTGATGATGCCATACATGCAGGGTGCCCTTTGCAGGCTGCAGTTCCAGTGCCATGTTCATCAGTACCATGTCTCCAGGGCGCCCTCTTCAGGCTGATGGGAGAGTGTGCA